ATGTCCCTGTCCATAGGAATCTCAGTCTATAGGAAATACATCTGGCAGAAACCACTGAGATTGACTTGATAGAAAGAGTTATGCAATAATATCCCGAGGGCCAAATAGGCTAGAAAACCTATCCCACTAGATTCATATCCCAAAAGAGGTATACGATCTTTGTTAACTTAGGTCTGTACACCCCTTCCAACTTTAGTTTATCTCTATCCAAAATTTCTATATTACTTTTTTAGCATAACAATTTAGCATAACCTGATAAGTAGACAACTAAGTCATATCAAAAATCACATCAATATCCAATATATCTAGTCAGTGTAACAAGATCTAGCAATTATAAAGACCTTCCAACACTACTAAAAAAATCGATAAACATGAGTCAACACAACAGACTCTCCAACCAAAGTGGAAACATGATCACAGTTATCAAGAGTATCACAAATCATATTGAAACTTAAGACAAATTTAACAGATACATAAAAATATGCGGAGCTCGAATCAAACAAAACAGAAGTCATTTGATTATAGACGAGAATAGTACATGTGAATACTACATCATTCATCCTAAGACCTGTCCAGGAAGGTGTAAAATTGAACTTTATCGTCAAGCCCTCATTTATAAAAGTGGGTCCCTCATGACAATGATAAATAAGATCCTACTTACACAACTTCACTAAGACACTTGAATTTTTTAGTTTTGATACCAATTTTTCACGGCCAATCTACTTGTGATATATTCTGCTCTAGACCTAATCTGCACGACTTTAAAACATGTATGTAGTTGATAAAGACTACTTCTTTATATACCAAACATATCTCTTGTGTTTTGTTGATGTGAGATTTCTTATCTTAAGCTAGGGTGTCACATACTCCCATCTATGGAATCAACGTCTTCGTTGAGATGTACCCTAGTGCATGAGATTTGCCAACTCCACACTGATGTTTGCTCTGTCTTATCAATATTTTCCTAAACTTAGTTTAACTCTGGCCCACCCATATTAATAAGGCTAACACATGAAAGAATCTGATACTAAATTTATCATGACTCGAGTCTACACCCTAAATGTAACACAATACTTGAAACCATGAGTGACGCTACAACTTAAACTAAAAGCAAATGTGGAAGCTAATACATGTAATTAACTCATAGAGCATAAAAGAATATTAAAAATATAATGTGACTAAAATATACATTATTTGAAAACTAAATACAATTGTTTGATTGAATGTCTATGAAGCATATACTGATGAACAATTGAGACAAATACCCAAGCTACTATAATAAAATGGTTATAAGTAATATAAATTATGAACTCTGAATAATTTTTCCCTCAAATAGTGAAGGCTCATCATATGCTGATTGGAAAACCTACAACTTCACTCACCACGAGTTTGAAAGCAAGAATCAAAATCTATATCCTAGATAGAAGGTATGTTTCAGTACGTGGAATGTACTAAATAAATAAGGGACAGTAGCATATTCATGAAAATGTCATAATGAGGACAGTGAAATAAGGTTTCCAAAATCATATACATAGTAAGAGAACTTAAAGAGAATGCAGTTGAAGTTCATGTCTAAATACAATTTAAGATCTTCTTTCAAAAGCATACATAGAGTTAATTAGTTTTTCATAATTATAAATTTAAATAGCATATTTAAAAATGAAACAAATAAAGTAAGAGCATATCATAAAAGATGCATAAATTGGGAAGTTTCTTGTAATCGACATAAACTATTTAAGCTCATGATGTCTAATTTATAATCTCAATGGAACGGGCTGCTCTATGCCGTGCCAGAGAGTATAGAACCATATCTATATATGTAGATCCACTAACCAAGCCTCTCAAGGTTAAATGATCAATCGTCGAAATGGTGAAACATAATCCTATCGTGGACATAGTTATGAGACTTGTGTTTAATAAACATGTGTCCTCTCGATGCTAAATAGTCTTCCCAAAATAACACATATCCATATAATGCTTATAAATATGAAAATCATCTATCTATTTGAATCATATGTGAGACTAATCTCTAAAGTCATATCTGTATAACCTGATTGAGGTAGAAGTTCATATAATGCAACTTTTCATGCTTAAAAGTCATAAGGATTTTAAATACCATAAAAATCATGTTAAACCAGTACAATAAAATTTTAAAGATTAAAATTAGTTAAAGGAAACATAAACTTATGAGGGAAATGGTAGCCCATACAAAAACCTAACTTTTATTCACATGTTGTCACAAATGTTTTAAAATTGAAATACTTTAGGCATGAGAGTGATGAAGTACCCTTGTTGAAGCCTTACATACCTGATTATGAACTTGTTAGACTTAAAATATAGGTCTCAAAATATTGGTGCTTGATATTGAGAATAAAAACTATTTTATGGAGTTTCTAGAGTAGTAGAACTTGGAAACCTTGGTGAAAGACTTCTATTAGGGTGTATTTGGTATGAAGGATAGCATTTTCTGGAAAATGTTTTTCAATTTTCTCATGTTTGGTTGGGACAAAAAGTTTTGAAAAATGTTATCCAAATCAACTCATTTTCCTCAATTTTGAGGAAAATGATATCCCTGCAAAAGTCAAGGAAAACATTTTCCAAAACTCTCATCCAAATTCAAATTATTTTTTTAAAAAAAAATAAACATCAATTTCTAAAAAATATTTTCAATTCAAAAATTTTATATTTTCACTCCGCTCTTCCCCGAACGCGATCATCCCTCCATCCCCCTCCAAAAAAAATTAAATTTATTTTTTAAAATATATTTTCAATTTATAAATTATATTATTTTACCCAGATCCAGGACCCCCCACTACCCACCCCGAAAACTCCCCCCCCCCCAAAAAAAAATATTTTTAAAAATATTATTAACTTCAAATTTCATTTCTTCATCCCTACACTCAACACCACCCACCCACCCCCTACCAGCACCCCCACCCCACCCACCCAAAAAAAATTAAGTTTGTTTTTAAAAAATATTTTTCAACTCCAAATTTTTATTTTTCACTCATACCCCTCCTCCCCCAACCCCTACCAGCCCCCTCCCCCTCCACAACAAAAAAAATTAAGTTTGTTTTTATAAAATATTTTTGACTTAAAATTTTTATTTTTATTTTTTTGCCTCTACCTCGACCTCCACCTCTCCCCACATCTCAAAATAAATTTTCATTTTGTTTATTCCCCCTCCCCTCCCTTCCCACCAGCCCCCCTAACAGGCCCCACCGAAAAAAATAATTTTATTTTAAAAAAATATTTTCAACTTAATATTTTTATTTTTTTCACCGTCTTCACCCCCTACCCCCCAAAAAGAATTAAAAAATATTTTTAATTTCAAAAGTTATTCTACTCTAGTAAAAATAAAATATATTTCTCAAAAATATTTTTCATTCAGAAATCAAACACTAAAATCATTTCCTAAAAATATTTTTAACGCAACAAATCAAACATGAGAAAATAGGTCATAAATCTACTTAATTTTCAGGAAAACATTTTCCTTCACACCAAACACACCCTTAGTATCTTGAATCTTTGACTTGAAAGATCTAGGGTTCTTGATGAAGAAGAGGAGTCATAGGTGAGTTTGAGATGATTTCAAAAGTATTGGCTGGTAAGATTGATGATTATGAGAGGAAAACTAATTAGTTGTATGATATAGTCTTTTAAGATATCCAAAAATGACGTACAATAAGCAAAAACTTAGAAAAAGACAAACATAACCCTTAGAACACGTGCAAGAAGTCTCTAAAAGGAATCGCAATAGATCCTTTACCGATGGTTCCTTGGTCCATGGAACACACCAAGGAACCTAATGTCGGACGTGAAATTGTGACTGCCTAACAAGCAGGGGCGGACTAACGTGTCGTCCAAGGGGTTCACTCGAACCCCCTCGATAAAAAAATATATACTGCATATATAAGGTAAATTTTATGAATTTGTGTGGAATAGCCTCTCAATTACAATGAAAGAGATAGCCCAGCGGTAGCAGCACTTGGAATTATGCGCAACATCCAGGGTTCGAATCCTCGGATTGACATTTTACTTTTTACATTTTTAGTTTCATTTTTTGTTTAGTTTCATTTCGGATTTTGACGTTTTTATAGTTTTTAAAAAAAAACAAAATGTGTTAAATGGTGCTTAAACCCAAAAGAACTTTTTCACTTCCCATTTTTTTACTTTTTCACTTTCCAAATCCCTAAGTCACTTCTTTAGTTCTGCTTCCCCAATCCCCAACACTCAAAAGTCAAATACAAAAATCACCTCTCATAATTTTCTATAGTTGATTTGTTTATTTGAAGTGGAGGCTCAAATCAAAAGAGTTAATTGTTTGTCTTTTCTTCAAGGTAAGCACTTTTCTTTATTTTCTTCAAAAGTTTATCTTTCTTGATTGATTATTGACTATCTTTATTTTAAATTATAAGTTTTCTTAATTCTTTTACTATTCCTTCTTTGGTAGTTGTTACTAGAATTATGAACCATTTGAATTTTGAAGGTAATGTCTAATGTAATTTGTAAAACGTTATCTTTAATGTGTTTAATAATTTAACTATTTTGTATAGATTCATAGTCAATGAATAACTATTTTTTAAAAGTATCAACTTCAAGTTCTATTGCTCAAAATCAACCTAATCGGGAAGAAAATGATAATCATTTGGAAGTACCATCACATTCTTCTCAAGAATTTGATTTAAGTTCTTTAAAGGCTGATCCAGGTGAAAGAAGTAATATATTGGAATTTCATCCAAATCATCATGATGCTATTAGAAGAGCTTATCTAAAAAAAACCTTGTCAGCCTCTATTAAGAGAGTTTCCACAAACAAACATTTTTGGAGATATGCGTCGTTTTAATCATAAATGGTTTGATGAGTTTCCTGATTGGTTAGAGTATAGTATAACTAAAGATGCAGCCTTTTGTTTGTATTGTTATTTATTCAAGCAAAATAACAATCTTCAAGGCACAGGTGAAACATTTTTTAGTGTGGGGTTTAGGAGTTGGCATACAATGTCTAGTTTACAAACGCGTGTTGGTGGGCATACTAGCATTCACAATCAGTCAAAAAGAAAATGTGAAGATTTAATACAACAACAACAATCTATTCATGCTTCATTTGAGAAACAATTTAATCAAGATAAGCATGGGTGTCGAATCCGTTTAGCAACTTCAATTGATTTAGTGAGACTTCTTGTGAAACAAGGCTTGTCATTTCGAGGTCATAATGAATCTAAATTATCACTTACCAGAGCTAATTTTCTTGAGATTTTTTCATTTTATGCTCAAAAGTGTGATGAAATTCGTATTTTTTTATTGAAAAATACTCCTCAAAATGACCAAATTACTTGTCCAAAGATTCAAAAAGATGTATTTGCTTGCAAGATGAAACTATTAAAGGCATCATAAAGGAACTAAATGGTGATTATTTTTCCTTATTAGTTGATGAATCTTTTGATGTTTCACGCAAAGAGCAAATGACGATTGTTTTAGGGATAATTCCCAAGTACCCCCTCAACCTATGCCCGAAATCTCAGAGACACACTTATACTATACTAAGGTCCTATTACCCCCCTGAACTTATTTTATTAATAATTTTTTACCCCTTTCTATCTTACGTGGCACTCTCTTGTGGGCCCAACGATGATTGACTTTTTTTTTCAAACTAGTGCCACGTAGGCTAAAAAGGGGTAGAAAATTACATATAAAATAAGTTCAGGGGGGTAATAGGACCTTAGTATAGTATAAGTGTGTCTCTGGGATTTCGGGCATAGGTTGAGGGGGTACTTAGGTATTTTCCCGTTGTTTTACGATATTGATAGAAGAGGATTTGTGATGGAGAGACTTGTTGAGATTTTTCATGTTAAAGATACTAGTGTTTTATCTCTAAAAGAAACAATTGTCAATTTACTTTCTCAACAATTCTTGAGTCTATCTTATGTGCATGGACAATGCTATGATGGAGCAAGTAATATTCAAGGTGATACCAATGGTCTTAAGATGTTGATTAAGAAAAAAAGTAGGTCGGCTTATTCGATAAATTGTTTTGCTCATCAACTTCAATTAACTCTTGTTGGTGTTTCTAAAAGATGTCTTAAAGTTGGAGAACTTGTTCATTTGGTTTCATATATTTTTAATGTGTTAGCAGTTTCTTATAAATGTATGGATGATTATCGAGAATCTTAAAAAAAATTCAAGAAATTTTTGATATGGGTGAGCTTGAAACGGGCAGAGGCTTGCATCAAGAAGTTGGTATTTCTAGAGCTTGCGATACTCGTTGGGGATCTCACTTCAAATCTTTTAATTGTTTTATTCTCAAATTTGGTACAATTATGGACATTCATGATAGTATTGTTGAATATGCACATTCTATGGATGAAAGATTTAAGGCAATAGGATATATCAAAATTGCTCAAACTTATGAGGTTGCATTTGATGAAAGAAGTTTTAGGAATTACAATGATATTGGTACATGCTTACAAAAAAAAGGAGCAAGACATTGTAAATGTCATGCTACTTGTTAAGGCTAAGAGAAGGCTACAAGAATTGAGGGAAAATGAAAGACGAGATTTATTTGTTGCTGAGGTTTCTGCATTTTGTATCAAGTATAATATTGTGGTGCCTAATTTTGATGAGCCGTATGTTAATTGTGGAAGATCACAGCGTAAATCTGCTGATTATACTATTTTTCATCATTATCGTGTTGAAGTATTTTGTAAATAATTGATTGGCAATTGCAAGAACTCAATGATCATTTTGATGAGGTGACAACTGAGTTGCTTTATGGAGTTGCTTGTTTGAATCCGGTAGACTCATTTTCAAGTTTTGATATCCAAAATATAATGAGAATGAAAGAATTATATCCTGATGACTTTGATGAACTTAGCATGTGATAACTTGAGAATCAACTAGCAACTTACATTATCGATGTCCGTGATATCGATAAAAGATTCTCTGATTTACATGGGTTTTGTGAGCTTTCGAAAAGATTGATTGAGACAAAAAAATATTCATGTTATCCTCTTGTATTTCGTTTGGTGAAATTCGTTTTACTTCTGCCGGTTGACACTGCATTCGTTGAAAGAGCTTTTTCTGGAATGGAATTTATTAAGAATGAGTGTGAAAGCAAATGAATGATGACTTATTGAGCTGTTGCATCGTTCCTTTTATGGAGAAGGGTGCGTTTAATGATGTTTCAACTGATGATATTATTTTATCGTTTCAAGCAATGAAACCTCGTCGAATAGTATTGTAAATGTATTTGAGAAGTATTAGTATTGACCTTTTTTTGGTGTTTGTAGTTAGCACTTTAGTCCTATAGTGAGATATTATGAAGTGCTAATTTTTTTGTTCTAGTTAGCTCCATTTTTTGCTCTATTTAGCATCCTAGTTCTAGATTGACATATTTTAAAGGCCTAAAAACTTTTTGTTTCACTGTAACCCCTTATGTTAGTTTCGGGTTTCTTGTAATGAAACTAACTTTTTGTACCTATAAACTATATGCTACTACTTTCTTGAAATTTTATTTTGTTGATTTGTTTACACGTTTATGCTTTTATTTTTCAAATTTTCTGAACGAAAGATCTTGGGTCCGTCACTGCTAACAAGGCTTCACTTAAGCGAGCATAATATTTTACTTCAAACACTGATTAATGCAAATTTTGTGGCGTTGGAAAAAGAACTCATTGACCTTTAGTTTGATAGGTTATTGACCACCTAACTCTTTATATTATAGGAAATATGATCGTATAAATTTATCTAACTAAAATCTTATATTCACACTCAATTGGTAATGAAGTCTTACAACTTAACTTTGTGCTAGTAAATTCTTATGACCTTAAATCATCTATAAATTGTGGTTTCACTATAGAATTAACCTTCACACTTATGCCCAATTAAGAATCACTTGATATAACCTTATACACATATAGGTTATATACACATATAAAAACTTGTATGACTCTTAGGGGTCGTTTGGTAAGGAGTATTAGGGAAAATAGTCCAAGTATTAAGTGTGGTATTATTTAATTCTATGTTTGGTAGGAATTTTGGATCAATCCATGGATTAGTTATACACCCTACATGGTATTAGAGGGTGTATAACTAATACCTTCTATTTGGTGGTATTAATTTAATACCATGAGACTAATCGAGATAAAGACAAAAATACCTCTCAAATCCTTTTAATCATTTTATTTATTTTCTTGATTTTATATTTATATTAATAAATTTATTTAAATAAATTAATTTACAAATTTTATTATTTAGATATAACTTTTTTGTTTCTAAAACATGAATTATTTAATTACTTATTATTAATATAAAATATTATAATCCAACTAATATGCTAATGTTGATGTATGAATTTAAGAACAATTCATAAGTCAAATATTGTCTCTTAACGGGAGTTCCTTAAACATTACACAAGTAGTCTAAAACAAGAGCATATACATATAAATAAAACATCTCGATTATAAAATTAGTTTAATTAATCTTGCTATATCTATTGTTTATTTTTATTTTATTATATGATAAAGAGTTTTTTAAAAGATTTATTGATACAAAACAAAGTTCAATAAATTTTTCCTATATATAATTATATTTGTGTGATATTTTGAGATATTAACTCCGATTTATAGATGACAATTATTTACTCTTAAATAATTTAAGTGAGAACGTAGTGAATATGATAATAAAGTTTTATTCTCCTATCTAGTTAAAAATGCTATGAAAAAATAATATTATCCGTCAATCATCTACCTTGACCCAATTACATGAAATACAAAAATTTCATAACAACTCAAGGGTATAATTGGAAAGAGTTTTTTGTAGAGCTTTAAAGCACACACAAAACTAGTTTAAAAACAATGAACCAAACACTTGATAATACTAATCTCTGCATTACCCCAATCCCTGCATTACTAATCTCTACATTACCAATTCCAGCATTACTAATCCATGCATTATTAATCTTTGTATCAAACGACCTCTTAGTCTGGAAAAATTTGAGGTACTATAGAAATGATGTAAGAAAATTCACATGATGAATATACTGCAAAAATCTTTCTGTTCTGATCGTTAGCTTTTCACTTTCCTCTTCTCTTTCCTTTTTGTTTTGCTATTTGTTGTTTTGTTTTTTACTTTTTGGTGCTTTTGGTCAGTTGTGTTGAATTGGATGTACTTGTACATTCATTTCTGATTAGATAAAAGTTTTTATTTATAGAGAATAAAATCATCTCTATTTCTAATTGATAACATATTAGGTATAGTTGCACTTGCCCCCTAAGATTTTTTTTTTTTCAAACTCATACATAGATTCTTTTGGATTTTTCTCCTCAGGTTTCTTAAATATGTAATTTTTTTATTAAATCATTAAATCACTCATAATTTATTTTTTTAAACATTGTTGGCTGATTTTGATCAGTTTTTCTATTGTAAATGTCTTCAATGGTATTCGCATTATAATGATTTTGATTAAATGAATGAAGACAAATTGTGTATTATATTTATTTATTTTTTAATGTGTTTAAATGACGTAAAATAAACTACAATTATTCTCGAATATTTTCACTATTAATTGAACTAATGAGTTCTGAATTAACATATATATCATCTATCAATATCCCTCACAAAATTTGATTCTAGATTAGCCAATTTAAAATAAATAAATTATGATAATTTAATAGTTCAATAAGAAAGAGCATAGTTGAGATACGGGAAAAACGCAATAACTTTTGTACCAGGCACACTTATTGTCATTTGTATGAGGCCCTAACTTTTGTACCAGGCACACTTATTGTCATTTGTATGAGGCCCTCTTTGGCTGTCACTTGTATATTTTGGAATCCACGTACTGCCCACTATTCACCTATTTCAGTTTTTTTACTTTTTCCCTCCTTCCATTTTAATATTTTCTGTTGCTTTTTCTTTTTTATCACACATTGTCTTCTTTTTTCAGCTCTTTAACTCTTTCAGTCTTAACATAATTTTAATTTAAAAATTCACTGAGAAATTTTAAATTTAAAAATAAATGATCAAAAAAATAAAATAATATGTATAATTTAAATTCAAATTTTGGATGATTTTGAAGAAATTAATAATAATAAAACTAAAAAAGTGTAAATTTGTAAAGCTTATGGATTCTAACAAGAATCCATAGCCAAAGCTCTGTTGGACCTCAAGATCACGCAGAGAGAATGCAAGACAATTGAAAGGGAGAAAATTTCTTCATTAAACTTCAATGTCACACAATACATCATTTATATACAACTAACTAACTAACAACTTTGTAACTAACTTGTAACTAATCCTTCCTAGCTATAATCTAGTATGTAATCCTCACCATAATATACTATATGCTTCAATATATTTTCAATGTACATCAATGCAGTTGTTTAACTCTTTTACACCCTCCCTCAAGCTAGGAACTATGAAGATGTTCTTCATTCCTAGCTTGGATACAAGATGTATATGAGAATCTCGTCCAAGTGCCTTAGTGAATATGTCTGCAGGCTGTTCAGATGATGTCAAATGTGTTGTACTAACCAATCCTTCTTGTATCTTTTCCCTCACGAAATGGCAGTCTATATCTATGTGTTTTGTTCTCTCATGGAACACTGGATTAGATGCTATTTGAATCGCAGAAGTACTGTCTGAATACAATGGCACATGAAGATTAATCTTGATTCCAAGTTCATCAAACAAACCAACAATCCAAAAAATTTCAGCAACTGTAGATGCCATTGCTCTATATTCTGCCTCTACTGAACTTCTAGACACTGTCACTTGTTTCTTAGATTTCCAAGATATAGGTGAACCTCCATATTGTACCAAGTATCCTGTAATTGATCTTCTACTATTAATGTATGCACCCCAATCAGCATCACAAAAAACCTGCAAATCATTTCCCCCTGTTGATGCCATCAAAATACCAAGTCCTGGTTCTGATTTCACATATCTAACTAGTCTCATTGCAGCCTCCATATGTGAAGTCTTTGGAGAGTGCATAAATTGACTTAAGCACTGTACAACAAATGATATATCAGGTCTAGTAGTTGTGAGATACAACAACCTCCCAATTAACCTTTGATATCCTGTAGGATCTTTTAATGTTTCATCAGGACATCTAGATGAAATACTAGCATCAAATTCAACTGTAGTAAGTTTTTGATTCAATTCCATTGGAGTTGAGACTGGTTTGGCACCTGCCAACCCCATGTCTGATATGAGCTCTAAAGCATACTTCCTTTGATGTATTAGAATTCCAGCATTATTTCTAGCAAATTCCAGCCCAAGAAAGTATCTTAGTTCTCCCAAATCCTTGATCTTGAAAGCTTGTTGTAACCTCTCCTTAGTTTGCTGAATCATTGCTTGATCATTTCCTGTTAATAACAGATCATCTACATATATAAGAACTATCATTATCTTGTCTTGTTTTCTCTTTGTGAACAAAGAATAATCTCTTGTGCTTTGATGAAATCCTGATTCAATCAAGGTATGTGTAAGCTTGATTTTCCACTACCTTGATGCTTGTTTCAGGCCATAGAGTGATTTTAGCAATTTACACACTTGATTGTTTCCATTGCTGTTGTTTTTCCTTCTACTAAATCCTTGAGGCAGTGTCATGTATACCTCTTCATAGAGATCTCCTTGTAGAAAGGCATTGTACACATCCATTTGATGAATGTTCCAATGATTAGCAGCTGCAAGTGAAATAACAGACCTTACAGTGCCTTGAATCTTTCTACACCACCATCTGAATTATACTTCACCTTGTAAACCCATCTACAGCCAATGGCCTTCTTGTTCTTTGGCAAGTCTACTAATTCCCAAGTCTGATTATCTTCTACAGCTTTTACCTCACTTTGCATTGCATCCACCCATCTAACATCTTGTATAGCTTCTTCATAGGTAGCTGGCTCTTTTTCAACTGAGAACTTTGAAATGAAACTTTGATACTTGTTGGACAGTCCAGAATAATCTAGTACTGAAGTTATTGAATACAAACATCTGTTAGTCCCACTTGTAGTAATGTAATCCTTATGCCAGATTGGAGGTTTAACACTCCTAGCAGACTTTCTTATTATAGGAACATCCTGATGGACTGACTTTTGTGGATCAACACTATCTGAACTAGAATGAGATATAGTGGGTTGTGTCACTATAGTAATCATTTCATCATAATTGAATAAGTCTGTATTGGAAAAAGGATCAGCTGATGATGTAGAATTTTCTTTGAAGGGAAACACAGACTCAACAAAGACTACATCTCTATTAACAAAGAATGTTTTACTCTCCAAATTGTACAATTTGTAGCCCTTTTGTGTAGTCTCATACCCCACTAAGACAGATTTTATTGCCCTAGGACTAAACTTGTCTTGCTTAGTAAGAGTAGTAGCAAAACACAAGCAACCTATCACTCTTAAATGATCAATTGAAGGAGGCTTGTTGTATAGTTTCTCAAAGGATGATACACCACTCAAACTAGTAGAAGGCACTTTGTTGATCACATACACTGCAGCTTGAACACATAAACCCCAAAATCTATCTGGAAAACCAGCCTGAAACTTAATAGCTCTTGTTGTCTCTAGAATATGTCTATGTTTTCTTTCCACTACACCATTCTGTTGAGGTGTATATGGACAAGAACTTTCATGGATAGCACCATGTGATTTAAGAAGTTCATTGCAATTAGAATTAAAAAACTCAGAACCATTATCTGTCCTTATTTTCTGAATCTTTTTGCCAAACTGAGTTTTAACTTCTGTAAAGAAATGCTTTAACAAACTAACAACATCTGACTTCAAACTCATTAGAAAAATCCATGTCCATCTTGAATAGTCATCAACAATAGTAAGAAAATATCTCATACCATCAAAAGTTTCAACTCTATATGGTCCCCAAACATCCAAATGAACCAGCTGGAAAACATTTGTTGATCTACTAGTACTGTTAGGAAAGGGCAGCCTAGTTTGTCTAGCAAGTGGACAAACTTCACAATCATGCAGTACAAATTTACTACCAAACTTATTTAAACTGGGAATCTTTCTGATTACACTCATAGGTACATGACATAGCCTTTGATGCCAAACAATAGCTTTGTCTTTAATATCTTGTACTGCTGTTAAACATTTCTGAGGCATATCTGCTACTTGTGTATCCACCATGTATAAACCATATCTTTCTTTACCAGTCACCCTCACCTTCCCAGATGAGAGATCCTGAAAAACACAGTAATGAGGGAAGAAGGTGACACAACAATTCAAATCTTTAGTCACTTTTGAAACAGACATAAGTTTGAACTTGAAATCTGGAATACATAGCACTTGTCTAAGCATATCACCTTTTCCTATAGAACAATCTCCAATGTGAGAAACCTTTGTAGAATCTCCTGTAGGTAACTGAACACTACCTGCATTTTCTATCAGTCTTTCACAATGTAAATACTTAGCATCATTTATCATATGATGTGTGGCACCAGTATCAACTACCCACTGTAATGAATCATCCTTAAATAAGTAAGAGTTACCTGCCATATTAGCTACAGACTGTGTATCACCAACTGTTGTTTTATTCAACATTTGAATGAGTTTCTGATGTTGTTGTGGTGTAAACATTGGCATTGGCATCATCCCAGATTCTGCAGCTGGATGAAACTCCTTTTGAGTAGGTTGTGGAGCATGCTGATGGATAAATGATTCCTCATAGGTTGAGTTCCCTGCAACAACTGTGTCTCTCTTACCTTTGAACTCTGAAGGATATCCAATAAGTTTGAAACAATCCAGCTTCACATGACCAGTTTTGTGACAATGATCACACTTCAGTAGTTTGCTACAATCACTTCTCATATGCACCTTCATGTGACAATAGTCACAGAAGGCATTAGGATTGTATGGCTTCTTATTCCTAGAATTAGATCTTGATGTATACATTGCTGTAGGATTTAAACTTTCTGGCATTGACCTACTTAAATTTGCTGCTAGTTTCTGACTTTCATCTTGACTTATCATGGCATAAACTTGATTAATGCTAGGAAGTTGATGCATCAACATAATTTGACTACGAGCCTGAGCATAACCATCATTAAGTCCCATGAGAAATTGCAACATTCTCTGATATTGTAGATGCTCAAAAAACTCTTTAGACTTAAGACAATTACAAACTGGTGATGGCATGATGCTATCATATTAATCCCAAAGATCTTTGAGTCTTGAGTAGTATACTGAGATAGAAGACACACCTTGAAAAAGTGTGAAGATCTCCTTATGTAGCTGAAACACACGAGAACTGTTGATCTTGTTGAATCTTTCTTTTAGATCTCCCCAAATCAAATGTGTATCTGAATAGAAAAGAATACCATTGTGTAGATCTTTACTCACATTGCACAGAATCCATGAAACAATAATGGCATTACATCGATCCCACAGTTGAGCCAAACTCCCTGAAAACTGATCTCATTTCACTGTTCCATCAATGAATCCTACTTTGTTCTTCCCAAGCAAAGCCAACTGCATTGCTTTGCTCCACAAAGTGTAGTTATCTGTTCCTGTAAGCATGATTTCAATGTTGAGTGAGCCAGGTGAATCATATGGATGCAAGTACAAAGGATGAAGATGATCAATGGTCGTGGATGCCATTGATGTTCCTGTGATTTCCCCTGCTGAATCTCCAGTAGAAACCATCGAATTAACAACTTTGTCTTCTTGTTTACAGAATCAGTGGCTCTGATACCATGTAAAGCTTATGGATTCTAACAAGAATCCATAGCCAAAGCTCTGTTGGACCTCAAGATCACGCAGAGAGAATGCAAGACAATTGAAAGGGAGAAAATTTCTTCATTAAACTTCAATGTCACACAATACATCATTTATATACAACTAACTAACTAACAACTTTGTAACTAACAACTTTGTAACTAACTTGTAACTAATCCTTCCTAGCTATAATCTAGTATGTAATCCTCACCATAATATACTATATGCTTCAATATATTTTCAATGTACATCAATGCATTTGTTTAACTCTTTTACAAAATTCATATATCAACTAATTAAACTACAAAAATTCAACGGATCTTAATTCTTACACTTAAGTATACAATCTAATTTGTACTGTTTGAATTTTGGTCATAGTTTATTTTTTGGGTTTCAATCTCAATTTCTAATTCTTAAATTTATTTTTTGTTTATTTTATAACCACTTAATATATCTAAATAGTTAATATTTATAATAATATGTTAATGATATTAAGACCCAATTATCTTTTAGTCTTTTTATATTTGTTAAACTCTTTATTTGCTTGGCATCGATACGATAATATATTATTGCTAATATTAATTGTGTTTCTTGTTCAAAATTTTCCTTTTTGAATTTTCTTTATACTTGATGTTTTAAGATATGAAATGAATGGTCAAAATCAATTTTAAAATAAGATGAAAATTATTTTATAAATAAATAAATATTTATGTTTTAATGGGTCAAAAAGTAAAAGTAAAAAAATAATGAAATATAAAGGTAAATTTTTTCTAAGTACAATAAATGAAAATGGAAGGAAAAATAAAAAAATAATTTTAGTGGTCAATTAATTATCATCCGAAGAATTAACTTTAATATTTTTATACTCATACCTTTAATATTATTTAATAAAAATTATAATTTGTAAAAAAAATTCTGCTAAAATAAATAAAAAAACTTATTATTTTTATTCGAACAGATTAAGATAGTAATCAAATTTGACATTTCAAATAGGACTTTAAAAAAATCTACAAAAAACGAGCAAAGAAAAAGAGAGTAGGAAAGAGAAACAAAAGGTGAAGAAGAAAATAAAGTAGGAGTCCCACGAACAAAATATAATAATAATAAAATATCTCCTCATATAACTAGTACTAGTTATACAAAATAAGATTTTTCGATTTAGAAATTTATTTATATATTTGGTCTTTTTTAACTAACTATAGTGTGGGTATTTGATTCCTATATTCTAGGCACAATTTATTTATCATTCCCTAATATTATAGGCATTAAAATTTTAAACAGTGTATTGATTTCAAGATAAAATTAAAAAATATAATATTTTTTTATTTTTTCCTTTGGTGTCCGAAGTTTATATTGAAGCTACGATTAAAATTAAAATATATTTACCGATTCACAAAAGATAATAAATCAAGTTTATGCTGGCCAATTCATGTGTTCTTATTTTTCATCCTCGTCGTTTACTGAATTTAGTTCTTCAAATTTATATTTTGATCTTTTAAATATTTAATTAAGCCTCAATCATTTTTTTCAATAAATTGTTTATTAGGAGTATTTTTTTTATTGCATAGGACAGTGCTTTGACATCGTATCTTGCTTGTATTAAAGAAAAACGGTAGAAAATAAATTTTTTTAGGTGACTTTAGAATTTTAATTACAATTTCATTCTACATATATATAATATTCAAAAAAAATAAATTGTTTATACCAAAAAATTGAGCAAACATCTCACTTTATTTAAATAAGCATTTGTTAAAAAAATAATATAACCCAACAACCCCACATCATGAGAAACATCAATACACCTACTTAATTAAGTAGTTAGTACGGATTATGAAAAAATGCAATTAATTATCTTCGGCCTTTTCAATTCAACGCCCTACTTTATTGAAAAATTTTATGGTGGGAGAGGTCCAAGTATGACTTGGTGTGTGAGGCATTATTTTTTATTTAAAAAATATGTAGGTCCCACATTTTCTATTCAACATTATTGTTTCTCTCTCCTGTCTTACTTAATTTTATAAATAAAAAGTTATGTGGGTCCTATTATTTTTATTTTACATTGTTATTTCTTTTTTCCGGACATTTTACTCCACATTCATTCACTTGTCCATTTTTTTCTTTGCCTTCTTATTATAAAAAAAATCTTCTATTATTCTTTCCTCTAATATTTGAGATCAATTTTCAGCTACGAATTTATTTATTCAATTTTTATATATTTAGTATATTTATCTTTATCATATTTGACAATTAACAAGTATATTATTTTTAATTTCTTAAATTGCATAAAGTATGAGAATTAAAAATGGAGAAAAAAATTACAAATGAAAAATAAAATGTTCATCTACGAAATAAAAGTCTAGATAGTCAATCAATTAAATTAATAATATTCCTCATTTTATACATGCATTTATGCATGATTGATTGATTTTTCACTAATCAAATTGAATTATTTCATCAATTTTTTATATTAATAAACCATACCAAATTAATGAAATTATATTTTTTGATTTTCTTAATTTTCGTAATCTTGATTTGAAATTTTTTACAATAAAATGAATTTTA